CCGATACATGCTTTATGGTTTGATAGAAAAAAAAAAGTAGAGCATCCTGCTGCAGGGATGAGAATGTGATTTAAAATAAGAATACAATAAGAGATTAATAAGTGCTTTCTGGATTAATGGGAGGGAAGAATAGCTGAGGAGGGGGATGGAGATCTAGCCAGAAAAAATTTGAGAATAGTACACATTGAGAGCTGTGAAAGGCAGGACGGAGACTGTTAAAGGGGAAGTTAGGACTACTGGGATAGAAGGAGAATATGGGGTCCTTCAGTGTGTACAATAGTGCTCATTAAATAATTGTGAGGTTGAACAGAGGAAAAGCTGTATCAAAGCCAGCTGGTGGTTGGGATTAGAAGGAAGAAGAGCTGAAGAAGGGGGTTCTTCCAAGTACAGAGTCGTGCTTAATAATAATGCCTCCCTTATTCTGACACATGGAAAATATGAAATAAATATGTGGAATGAAGAAATGGCTCTAAATAGAGAGAAAGGCTGCAAGGTAAGGGTCTTGAGGGAGAGGTGATCGAATGAGCAATCAGTTGGTACTCAAAAAATTTAGGCTGGTGTGGATCCCTGGAGTGAGCTCTTGAGGCAAGAGCAGGACCTACCAGAGACTTGGAAAAAAGAAACAGAATTACTCATTCAGTAGGTGCTCAGTAAGTGTTTACTGGCTTAAACAGACTTCAGGGTATGAAGTGAAGGTTTGGAAAGGGAATCCCAGGATTATGGGAGGGAATGGCCCAGGGGTAACTCTTATAAATTGGGTTCTGGATTTACTGAGGGAAAAGACCTTATGATTGGTTTGGGTCCTTCTAGTGGTAATGAAAGGAATGTACTCCTGATATGCAACAGCCACTGCATACGTGATCACTGGATCTAGTAGAAGAAAAAGTCTCAGGAGAGAAGGCACGAACATACCAAAGTCATTCAGAAATGCCCATGGAACCTACTGGAGGAAATGGTCTTTGGGTGGAGTGATTAGAACAGAGCACATGACAGAAAGGATAAAATGTTCACTGAGTCCATTAAAAAAAAAGATTTGGAACCAGGGAGCTAAAGCTCAGTGATTCCGGCACTTGCCTTGCAAACACAATGTTCCAAGTTCAATACCTGGTACCAAAAAAAAAAAAAGATTTTGGGGAGACCAGTGATGGGAACACATTTGATGCAAGCTCACTGGATTGTTGGAGGAAAAGTCCTTTAAGGAAGGAGGATGGAAACGAAGAAATTTGATTCATGTAAGGATGATTCTTCATCTGTGGGAGGAAAGGTTTTTGTGGAGAAGGCATAGAATCAGACACAGAGAAAGTGCTCCATAAATACTCCAAGGAGTGATTAAAGAAAAAGTCTTTGGAAGGAGTGCTGGAAAGCAAGCAACTTCTAGACATCTGAGAACTGGATTAATTTGGGGGGCACAGAACGAAGAAATTTGATTCATGTAAGGATGATTCTTCATCTGTGGGAGGAAAGGTTTTTGTGGAGAAGGCATAGAATCAGACACAGAGAAAGTGCTCCATAAATACTCCAAGGAGTGATTAAAGAAAAAGTCTTTGGAAGGAGTGCTGGAAAGCAAGCAACTTCTAGACATCTGAGAACTGGATTAATTTGGGGGGCACAGGCCTTTGTCGGCATGTCTAAGCCTGGGCATGCAAGAGGTGCTCAATACAGGCTGAGTGAAATCACTCTAGGAAAAAGTCACTAAAGGCAAAGGATTTGGGGGTGGGGTATACAACAGATGCTCAATATATGTTTGTTGAATATATTGAAGGAAAAGACATTTAGAGAAGGCTCATATTGCAGGCAGTTGATCAGTGCTAGATGGATCCACAAAAGCAAAAGACTTTGAAGTAGCTTGAGAATGGGGGATACAGGAGCCACTCAATAAATGCTTTCCAGATTCGTCTGCAGGAAAAGATCTTTGAGGAGAGTCTGCTGATGAGTCACACACAGAAGATTCAAAATATTCATGGAATTCACTGGAGGAAAACTGTTGGGGAGAGGGTTTGGGGATGGACAAATATCAGTCACTTAATAAATGCTTCCTAGATCCTTTGGAGAAAATAGGCTCCCTCGAAGAGAAGGCTTGGAGTTGGGGCACACGGAAGGCATTCAATCAAGGTTCACAGGATCCATTAAAGGCAAATCCTTTGGCGAAAAGCTGGGGTGGAATATACAGCAGGCACTCAATGTTTACTGAGTAGTTTAAAAGGTCGTTGAGGAGGGGGCTTGGGTGGGACATGGCACCAACTGGATACCTGCTCACAAGACCTGTCAGAGAGGCCTTAGGGCAAGGGTTGAGAACAGGGCAGCATTGCGTTCTTAAGAAATGCTCGTAAAATTCATTGAACCCAAAGGCCTTAGGGAAGGACCCTTCAATGAGGCACACTGCAGGTACTAAGTGCTTACAAGATTTATTAGAGGACAAGGCCTTCGGGGCAAGGGGTGGGTGGGAGAAGCAAAGCGGGGCATATTTGGCTTTTGACGGCTCAAAGGATTTAATGAAGCCATAGGCTTTGGGGAAGGGTACTGGAGAAGAGGTACACAGTAGGCAACTGATAATTGCTCCCTGCATTCATCGGGACAGTTTTGGGGAGGTAAGGGTGGGGCATGTAGAAAGCCACCAACACCATTATTTAAAGGAAAAGAATTTGAGTGAGGGGGCCAGAGGTCAGGCACACAAGCAGCACTCTATAATTGCTTGTTCACCGTGGAACTATCTGGGGACCCAGGCCCACGGGGAGGCGCGGCAGTGGCTTACCAGTCGGTGTGCGGCTCGTCGATGACCAGCAGCACCCTGGCGGCGGCGCCCCCGCGGCTTGCACCCCCAGAGCCTCCGC